AATATGTAGTGAACAATCCCAATTTTTCCTAGATATACAGCACTAGGCATATATAGCTGCAAGTTTACAGATGAGTTTGCCTCCTTATACTAGTATGTTTTGTATCTGTATACAGACGAGCACTTATTTATATTTAGCAGCAATTAGGAGTGAAACTTTTGTAATACAGCATCTGAAATGAAGATGATTGCACTCATGGAAGAAAACTATTTAAAAAAAAAAAAAAACAACTTGTAAGTTCACATAGAACTATTTATTATAGAAGTTTCTTCTGATGCATCTGAATCAGTCATGCAAACCCTTCCTCGCTCTCAAGCACGTTCATTCCGTGTAAATAAGTTTGATGGGAAATCTGACACATGGGATATGTGTGATTCCTACTGAAGTTCTTAAAAACTAATGGTGACTGTACAGGATGCAGGTAACACTTCTGAGTTGCTTGCAGAATTGGTGCACTTCACACGAGCTGTGCAATGAGCAGAGACTGCAAAACGATAAAGTGTAGAAGATCAGGATGTGAGGAATAGAAAGGTTTTCATCTGAGTGCTCCTGTTTTGATTTATTCTGTTCTTAACTATGATTTTAAAACATCAGTAAATAGGGTTAATTAATGAGGATTGTTGTTATAGCAAATTAACATAGTCTATAATTCCGATAAGGCAAACAAAATACCATATATGATGTTAACAAACTTATGTAGTTAACAAACATTTGTTATTCTTTTCCTTTAATTTGAATTTCCAAAGCAAAATTCTAAAAATTTTGGCTGCATTTAAATAACGTACATGCATTAAAGGGCTGTTGGGGCATCTCTTTCAGCTCTTTAAAACCTGTGATGATCAGCTCCCCTCAACTTCTTCAAAGCATCATTTACATACGTTAGTGTGCAGTTCACCATGAGATAAGCTGCCTTGGGTTGTGTGTGACTTACTGTGTTGGGAGAATGTTTGCTGTAAGCACCTCTGGCATTTTCGCATCCTCCCTGAGCAGCTGCTGACAGCAATTTCTTTAGTGGCATTTGAGTAAGATAGAAAACTGGATCTGCTACTCAATTTTAATGTTAAGGAGGAAGTTTACAATCGCAGTAAATGATAAATGCTTTAATCTGTGTTATCCCTGTATGAATGCTTTTTAGATTTTGTTCATAGCAGCTATTTTTCTAATTGTTTTTCTCACTTTAGAGTTCTTTAATTAGTAATGTACTGTAAGCATCAGTTATCTGTCAGGGATTGCTTACATAATTCAAAGCCCCATCCTAGATGAGTAACAGCACCTTCAGAGATAATGAAATTTTCCTACCATGTCATCACCTATGTTAATTTTGTTCATGCATGTGTTTGTGCATGAGGGACAGCAGAACTGATCTGAAACCTTGAGTTGTTTGGAAGCTGTCCCAAAAAGCTGGTTGGAAAGGACCGCAATGCTCATCCAGTTTCAACCCCCTGCTATGTGCAGGATCACCAACCAGCAGACCAGGCTGCCCAGAGCCCCATCCAGCCTGGCCTTGGATGCCTCCAGGGATGGGGCATCCACAGCCCTTGGGCAACCTGTTCCACTTCATCACCACCCTCTGTGTGAAAAACATATGCAAGATTTTTCATTATGAGCATAGCACATAAATATTGTCCCCAAACTGCTGGATTTTCCTGATGGGTTTTGGAATGTGTCTCTGCTAATACAGATCACACGCATACGGCTTGACTGAGATTCAACCAATAGGAAACAAAAATTACTGTATTTTTTTTAGGAAAGTTGAAGTCTGTCATGCTTGTTTATGTTCTGCCTCTGTTTTTTCAATTAAACTGAAGTGAATGTGAAGTAGCTAAATTTCATCTAAATTCACACAGCTGAGGAAGCCCATGCTTGCTCTTTCTCTAAATTTTCACTGAGGGCTTTTATCTCCCCCTAATCCCACCATTTCTGTCAGGACATAATCTCTTTCTCAAATTTACATTTTAATTACAAGGCCAGCTGAACTAGCTAAAATCAATAATGTCAGCATTCAGCAGCCTAACTTCGGCTGAAACCCCAGCCTCTCTCTTTCCTTCTATCGATTTGTCTTGAGAATACGCTCTACTTTATTGCCTCAGGCAAATAGATGCCATTTGGTCAATTTAAACAAAAAGGGGGACTTGAACATTTTTATGATTTTTTCTGAAAGCTGCCAGTGGAACAATTTGAAGCCAGGTACTGTGTTTGTGTCAAATAAAATGCACAGAACAGCAGAGTTCTTAAGAGGAATTTTACTTGTAAAGCTGCACTTAATTCCATCTGCATTTTAAAAACAAAGCAACAGAAAAACCAACCCTGATATTGAGATGGCATTGTCTGCATAGTGGCTCTTCATCTCGTTAGCAAGAACTGATTTTATGAACAGATGAAAAAAATCCACGGTAGAGATGGTGTTAGCAGTGTGGCAATGTATTTACCTTTAGCTGTTTTCCTGTTAATGGTTTAAAATAAGAACTCAATGGGAAAAATAGTTTTTCTTGTAGCTCCTAAGAATTCTTGTATAGATCTTTTGAGTGTGATTTTATCTAATTGTCAACTTGTCCATTTGTCTCTCTTTTTCTGTGTTGTTGAGTGCCTGCCTCTGCTGTCCCCTGCTGAACAAAATCAGTGTATTAATGAGTGGGCAATTCTGCTTCCATACGTATGATAGGAAGAAAATTGAATAGAGCTAGGATTGTCTGAGAACTTCTGGTGTATGTGCACATATCTCTCTGAAGAGAAATAGAGATGTGGTGAGAGATGCACACCTGGTAGCTTTCATTTAAAGATTATCTGTATACAGGATACTCACGCTTTCAAAACCTTTGCTTTAAACAATCCTTTGCAGGAAGATATTCTTGTTCCTTAACAAAAAAAAAAAAAAAAAAAGACATTTTAAGTGCTAGATACAGTCTAAGCAATTTTGCTTTACAGATAAAGTCTGCCGCACATATTTTCTGAGCTAACCTTGCACATGCCAAATGTTGTGTTTGCTTGTAATGGTTTCTAACATAATGGGAAGTTTGCTTGTCTAAATCCTGACAGTTCTAGAGACAGTCTTTTGGGTTAATTCTGTCTCACTTTGATCATTTTGATACAAAGCACCCGAGAAGGGCTTTTTGCTTTTTACACGATGACAGAAGCTGAGATGCAGTCCTGTCCTTTCCCTTACCAGTTAGATAAATTCAAGCTTATTCCCTTCAGTGAAATATTAAATGTTGAGACAAAATATTTCTGTGAAGGTTCCATCAACCCTTATGAATGGCAAGTCTACAGCCTAGTAAACATGAGATCATTTCTTGTTAGCCAAATGTTCCTTTGCTTAGTTCCAACTATTCTGCTTAATTATCACTGCTGCTCCTTCTGCTAATTTTCAGGCCATTTTCCAATGTACAGATTACTTTTTTAAACAACTGTAATTCCTTTTTAAGCAGTGTTCTTTCCAGCCTTGTTGACTTTGGGAAACAAAGTAAGGTAGCAAGGTGAATGTGACACATTCGTTGCTTTCAGTAGAGAAGGTGATGTGAGGATGACTGGGTAAGGAAGGAGCACTGATATGCTCATCAGTGGCATCAGCAGCGGCGAGAAGGCTTTGTCTGTCTGCAGCTGGCAGGCCTGCAAGGCTTTCACTGAACAGTATGTGTTCTGTTGTCTTGAGGTTTGCTGAAGTCTTTGGCCTCATGGTCTCAAGTTATGAAATGTTTAGTTACTGATGATTGAGTGGCATGCAGGATGCGCTCAGTGTGTACTTTGTTACTGTAGATATTTAAGAGAAAGGAAGCATGCAGTCGGCCTTGGGTACCTTCTCTGACATTTCTTGGGATGGTCTCTGGCAAATTCCACGTGAACTTTTCCTTTTCTAGTTGTTATCTTCTGAAATATTTGATGACTAAGTAAAGCAAAGCAAGATTACTTATAGATACAGCTTCAGGGCTCACTGGAAGTGAACAGAAAGAAGAGGCAGAAGGAATGTCCCATATCAAAACTTGTTGGGTGAATGCAGGTTGCTTTCCTTAAGAAGTCTGAGGTATTTCTCTGGAAACTTTAGTCTGAAACTATGCCTACTTTTGGTTGATAATTTTTTGGGGGAGATGTTATTTCAATCTCTTTTATGAAAAAGCATTCTGGAAGGGAAAACATTGTCTGTTACATAGGTGTGAGGAACCGCATCTCTCCATTGCAGCTGCTGTTGGCTGAAAAGTTCTCGTTACTGCTGCCAGCTAATAGAGTTGCTTCAACTGGTAGCAGCATGTGCTATTCAACTGCTTGGTCTATCTAATTGCATCATTACTGTCCATGCTGACTGGCTAATCGAGCTGTATGAAGTGATTAAGTCGCCCCACCGCTGAGCTGCTGTTGCTGAGCTCTGCCTGAAGCTGCCTCGCAGTGGGTTTGTTCCTCAGGTGTCACTCATGCGTTTATTGTCCCTTCAGAGCACTCTGTGGCTGTACTGCTGTGCTTCTTAGATTGTTTATCTTGGCATGTTGTGTATTTTAGTATCTGTGAAAGAAGAAAGTTGTCTAGATAATTCTGTTTGAGGGTGTACTTCGGAATTGAAACTGAATTGTTATTTGATGTAGTGTTAGTAGCTCTTTCATTCCACTTTACCTTGATGTAACTGTGAGTATAGAAATGACATCTTAGCAAGATAGACACTTGTGACACTAGAAACCTGCATACAGAAAGCAAGATCACATTTTAGACTAACATATATTGTTAAAATCCCTTTTTCCAAGACCAAGTAATGCCATTCTTTGCTTTCACATGATGTCACACGAATTTAAAAGTTTGTTTGCTGTCATTAGCTTCTCAATATGTTTCTGTTTCAAAATCCAAAATAGTAAAACATTGTAGACAGAAATACCACTGTGTATGAGTGGGATTGATATCTAACGTGAATTGGAAAAACTGCCCCTCTACAAGTGATGGCATTATGAACTGCTTTGGCCCTGCTGTGAAGCACGGAGGGCAGGGGAAATGAACCCTCTTAACACTGATTTCTTTTTCAGGCCTTGAGCCTCAGTCACCCCCAAAAGCACCAGCAAGGAAGGCTCCTGCAGGACCAGCTCCGTTCAGCTCCTGTGCCCGGCTGAAAGGGAATGAAGATGAACTTGATCCAACTTGTGCAGCTGCAACATTGAAGCTTATCAGAGATAAACTAGAAAAGTTAACACCTCCACAGGCCAGGTTATTTTTATTCAAATTCTTAGGATCCATAGGAGCCTCTTGCTCTTACTTGTATTTATTAATAAAGCAAGCACAAAGAAGATTGCAGGAACTGAGCATACTAAAGGTTTAGGCTGCCTTGTTTCCATTTTAAAGGTATAATTATTTTGCTCAGATGTGTATTTACTGCTTAAAATTTGGGTGCTTGTTAGTGATTGCTTTGGACTATTAATGAATATTTTACTAATCACTTGGTTTAGGTTTAATTTGGTATTAGTGGCCTCAGTGTATCCTTTGGGATGGGAGGAAAAAAAGACAACACTGTAAAAGCAGTTGTAGTCCTAGATTTAAGTTAACATTAGGGTTGGTATGAAAACAGAGAACAAGTTGTGGTCACTTGTTCTCTCTTGACTTTTCATTGTTTTTCTCTAGTGAGTCTGCAACTACTGAGCCAGCAGCTTTGGAAGAGCCTGACAGTAAGAGAAGAAAACTAGAAGAGGAAAGAGCTAAAGCTCCCCTCATGCCTTTTGGGTTAGATCTTCACTACTGGGGACAGGATCAGCCAAGTGCTGGGAAGATTCTCAAGTAAATGCTCTTTCTCTTTTAAGATAGATTAAACAAATACGTAGATTTACTTGTACTCAGAGGTCACACAGTGGGGTGGCTGCTATTTCTTTTGATAATTACTTTTCTTCTTTCTCTTGTGTTGTGGGACCCATAAACAAAGTCAGAAATTCTACCTTAAAAGGATATTTGTTTTGAGAAATTGTGGTACTAATTAAATATCCTTTGATGCTTTAAAGCACATTTTTTCTGCTTTTTTCATGTTTGTGTATTATTTGCAGCATGGCAGCACTTCAGTTTAAATTGGTGCCTTATTATGCAAAGTGTTCTGCAGGTCCATAATAGGCAGTCCCTCTGCTGAAGACTTCACAGTCCAAATAAATAACAGGCAGGGTAGGAGAATGACAAGGGTGGTGTGGGGTATTTTTCCTGACTTTACAGAGTGGTAACTGGGGAAACTGATACGCTTGTTCAGTCACACAAGGAGTAAGTGGCAGTTGCAGGATTTGTATTTTGATCTCTCACTTTCCATTCTTGTTTGGGAATGCTCTGTGTTCCTTAGAGATGAAGCACTGCCGGTTTGAGAAAAACTCTAGCAATGCTAGGGGCAGTAGATTGTAGATACGCTTCAGAACTTATTTCTAGCAGTTTGTTTTTAAAGCCCATTTTTAGTACTAGTATTTTTATATGAATGTTGGGCTGCAAAGTCTTTCCTCTGTGTATAAATTCAATTTAAGTCCACCAGGAATTTCCTATCAGCTTGTACCATATTTTGCTTGAAAAGGGCAAACATCATTGACTAGCTGGCTTGAAGATCAAGCTTGTAAGTTCTCAGCAGTGCTATTTTAACTTAGTTTGTTTCCTTATTAAAGCGAATAAATTAAAAACCCTGTAATCATAATGTAGACTAGAGTAATAATGCTATACATACAAAATGTAAACGGTGCTGCAGTGCAAACCCAAGGGAAATGCCATCATCATCATTTCCGCCTTTGGAAACTGAGGAACCCAGGTCCTTCTGCCTGCCAGTGTTTCATGTAACAGTATTCATCTTCACTTTTTAACAATAGCTAGGTGAATGTTCACCCTGTGGAAATCAGCCTAATTTGCTGATTGCTAGTGCCTTTTTAAGATAATACCCTCCCAACTGCATATTTGCTGAGCAAAGGATCAAGAAGAAAGCTTTGCCTCCTGTACTTGATTATACGAAGTGCTGAATTTATTTTAAATTATTGAAAGTCGGTGAAATTTGATACATAACAGGGCTTTAACAGACACTCCAAGCTTTGGTCTCTGTGTGGTTAGGTGTAACCAGGCTATAAACTGGTTAAGATTTTCAGCAAGGCTTTAAGAAGTGGTTGACTTTGATAATGCCAAAAAGGTAGTAAGGCCTTATTTTACATTGCAAATGAGTTATTCAAGTCATAAGTGAAATGAAAAGCATATTTCACTGCCTGTCTGCCTTGTGCTGTACTGTTTTATTTTTATGCTTCTCAATAAAATAGAGGGCATACTTCTGAACCTTATGGTCTATAACTACAGATATGCCAATCTAACCAAAGATAATTTAAGTAATCCTGCACATACAATACCATTGACCCCTGGATGTAAAACGTTATTTATTGAAAAAGTAAAACAGTCATTGACCAACTCCTTCAACTTTTCTATCTTACAGAGATGCTAGAAAAAAGCCACACCAACAATAGACAACAGTGGAGTGTGTATGGGATTTCAATCTTTTAAATCTGAAGTGGCAGTCTTTCCCCTTCACTTGTTTAACATTACACTTACTTCACAACACCATGTGTGAGAAATTAACATTTTAAAATGTTGGTAGCAAGACTTGCTGTGAAGAAAGATGGCTTTCTTAATCATCTTTAGCTGGTAAATGTAACCGTGTGTTACTGTAACCCACAGTTTGAGCTGTACTTTTTTTCCCACTTCAGACTTCACTTGCAACACCTATAAAGTTAGTTTAAGAAATCTTAACAAGATTGTTATACTGTGTAGAGACTGCTATGCTAGTTAACCTATGCTAGTTAACCAACAGGTTTTGGAAAAAGCACGTGCCTTCCAGATTGATTTACCACTTCCCTGAGTTACAGATCTTACTTAAGGTGCTTACTCATAGGCTGAAGGCAAAGGAGGGCTAGGATACAGCTCACCCTAGCCTGTTTCTGATACTTGAATTAGCTCGTTTACTACTTGCTTGAAGATCTCTCTGTGCATCACACTGCTTAAGAACTGATGTTTACTCAAGGTTTTCTTAAGCTTCCCATTACTAATAAATTTTATATGAATTTGTGGAAAGAGTGCAACGTTTCCAATAGCTGGATTTTTCTTTCAGAAGTTAACAGGAAGTTAACCTGTTAGCATCACCTTATTCTTTTCTCCACTGTAACGAATGTGGAGAGGAAGTATTTTATATGGTAATAATAGTGTGTTTGAATGTCTGTGTAGGAATCAGTCTTTAAAGTCCAGTTCCAAATACTAATCAGTGCTCTATAGAGCAAAACATAATTTCATTTCCCTTCGGATTCGTGGGATATAGATTGTAGCAAGTAGTAAAAATATTAAGTAGAATTTTCTCTCGACTGGGAAGGTTGGCACACAACTGTTAACTGCTTCTTCATTATCATGTAACTGTAAGTACACTGGTAGTCCCTCCTTGTGCCTGCATGATAATTAATGCAGAGCTGGTAGTCATCTTGTTTTTAGGACTTCGTTAAAACTGAGTAAGCAAATCAATCTCATTCTTTTATTTGTTGTCTGTTGTATAATCTTGTTGCCTTTATGAATTTGAAGTATCATATCATTCAAAAGTATTAATATATTAAAAAGATGCATGTAACTTTTCTGTTCAGTTCGTATTTTGCAGATTGAAAACTTTTTGCCATGAAATATTGTGAAGATGTATCTGTATTACTATGCTTAATGCTGTTCACTAGCCCCCATTGTTACTCTTTTATCTCCTAATGAAGTGATACACATTTTGTGGCAGGTTAGAATTTTTCTGGCACCGGTGAGGTAGGTGTGATGACAGAGTTGTTGGACAGAAGGGATCTCTAAGGATTCTCCTCACTGAACTTTTTTTTTTTCCTCATGATTTGGCAAACCACAGAACACAGAATGGTTTCAGAATTACTTGTCCTTTCTTAACCGAGCTCTGATCTCATGACATAATTTGAAATGGTGAGCTAGTGCATTAAAAACATCTCCGTCTGTTACAGATTACTTGATTCAGATGAGTTTCTTCCACTTTTTGTTACTTGTCATTTGCTGAAAACTTGCTTAGGTAGAATTCGCACTAACTCTTCATCTCCACTAAGATCTTTGTTAAAGTGTTGGCTTGTGTACTTTGCTGATTTCCCATTGCAAAGGGAAATTCAGTTTTCATGTGTATGTCTGCCATCTACAAAAGGCAAAGTCACCAGCAGTAGTATGTACTGTCAGAGGTATAATCACTGCATCCTGAGGCTGACATCTAAAATGAGTCAGTTAATTGCTCTCTGAAGCTGCCTGTCAGCCTAGAGTGACTAGAATGAATTTGATTAGTACTGTTAAGAAAATTCTAAAATGTTACAGGGTCTCCAGCATTCTTGTTTCTGTTTTCCCCCATTCCCCACATCTATTGACGTGGTACTAACCATATTTGTAGTACAATAAGGAGGAGTATACTTGTCTGTATGTGTTTGTAAATACAGGTAAGATTCACGTTTTAAAATACATTCTCAATGAATTAGCTTAGTTCCTAGAGGAACACCCCGTAAGTTTCTCAGTGTTACTAACACTGTTCAGCAGAACAGCCTACTGAACCTAGAAGAATCTCTGATGCTCAGCTGATGGGTCTCAGTGTGTCACAAGATGCTCGTTTCAGTTTCTGCTTCTCTGCAGTTACAGGAGTGCAGCTGCCAGGAATAAGATCAGACAAGTTAAGATCAAGCTGTGTCCTCTCTGATCTGTCTTGTGTGTTCTACTATAGGAATATTATGTTATAAAGAGTATTAACCACAGAATTACAAAGTTGTCCACTGAAACTGCACATTGAGTGACTGCCTGTGAATGGCAAATCACCAGCTAGAGCTAAGACTGGCGAGAGAAGAGCTGGTTAAAGAGAAATCAATACTAGGCAGGTTTTGGTGATATTTTCAAAACTATCTTCATAATAGGAAACTACTACTCCTTCTTAAGACTCTAGCTTTTTTTCTAACTCTATGATAAACCTTCCCCTCCTTTTACATATAATTTTACTTCAGGATTACGCTGTATCTCTCTGCTTTCTTATACACTGAGCTTATGTTTGATCCAGGTGGCTCAGCATGCTTGGCTGGGAAAGGCACAACTTATCTACAAAGAAATAATTTCTGCATTGTTTTCCCAGATTTACTTCCGAGCATCGATTTTGGGCACCCAGTGAAGTAGAGGAAGAGGTAGAAAATAAAGAAATAACCGAAATGTTAAACACCAGATATATAACGTTTGCTGGCAAGTTTGAACCAGTGAAGCATAAATGTCGAGCACCAATGCCTGATGGAAGTCTGTGTGAAAGACAAGATCGGATTAAGGTGAGCACCAAGTAACCTGATTTCCAGGATATGTGGAAATTATATCCTATATGGAGAGGTTCTCATTAAAACATACCTATAGAAGTTTATTTTGCATTATAAATATAGCACAAGGGATCAAGTGATAGCTACGCTTAGAGAAGTTTGCTGATGATACCTGTTTTTCTTTTGTTAAGGAAGTTGTGCTTGTTCAAAGAACTCTCAAATATTTCTGGCATTCATTTGAAGTATTTATATTGTATTTATTACTCTTACATTGAAGTATTTGACAGTGAAACAGTGAAAGTTGGTTTCTGAAAAGTTCTCCTAATGTAGGGCATATTTGACAGTAGTTTTAGAAGTGTGGTTGGTTGGAGGACTAAGAAATTTTATTCACAAATTAAATGTTATGAAAGCTGTACCCTATGCAGCCTCTAATTATGAGCCCTACTAAGCAGAGAGCCTTTATTTACATACCTCATTCTAATATCCCCATTCTTGTATTATCTGACATTGCATTAAGGTACTTTAAATGGGATTGTAACAAGAAAAAGGTATAGCATAAACAGTAAACATGATGCAGCATGAGCACCCTGGTTCCAGGGGTGGTAGGATGTACTTACTCCCTCTTAAGAACGAATACTCATATCACAGAGATTATTTCTTTGATATTCTGAATGAATTCAACATATGATGTTTATGGGATCCTGATGCCTTATAACAAGGTGTAGAGTTTTACCACTTGATTCCAGTATCAGGGCATATGCTACACTGAAAAACATGTAAATATATTTTCATTCTAAAGCTGTGAAATTTTTTTCCTTTCTTTCTCAAGTGCCCTTTCCATGGAAAGATAATTCCTCGGGATGAGTGTGGGGTTCCTACCAATGCAGAGGACAGAGCCAGAGAAGAAAAGATGCGCTTTGAGAAGCAAGCAAATCAGCCAGGTTTGTGTGTCCATAGCATCTGGAAAAAATATCAAAATATTAGGTAGAGATGAAGATAAACTTCGAGAATATGCATGTGTATTTTACAAATGCTTATATAGAGAGTATAAAATGTTTACAATATCTATAATTTATTTACATTTTACATCAGATTACTTTATTTATAGTATCTACAATTGTCCAACTGTTCTGAGATTGTTGTCCAAGTGAGGTGCAATGTATGGATGAAAAGCTGATCCTTTCATTTCTGAAGACACAAGTTAAGATACGCAGAGCTGTATCATATTTCCATTTTGCTCCTGGCCACATTCTCTCATATAAATCCCCAAATTTTAATTTGCAGATAATTTGTAATGATTCGTTCTTGTCTCATAAGTATGACTGAATATACACACAAAATAAGGTTAGCTTTGCAATTTGTTCTTCATTTTCAGTGATTCTCATAATGTTCCTAACACTTCTCAGGCAGTAGTATTATAATATTTATCGTGAAGAACATTATATTAAAAACCAGATGCAGTTCTGGAAAGGACATCCTCTAATCATGCTGGTCCCCAAGAGTTTTGATTACTGCAATGTAACAATAATATTATTAGGACTGCTGTGAATATTAGCAAAGTGTTTTTGTTGTCACAATGCAAGAACTTAGTTTTATATCTTTTCGTTGGTATTTTCTTGTTTTACAAGAATTCTTGGCCTTGTTACATTGCACTCCAAATTAGTGAAGTCCTCACCTAGAACTTTATCGGCATTTTAATTAGTCTGATAGTAGGTACAATATTTGTATATTACAGTTTACTGTGCCATACTTCATTTTGTTCTTAAACAGCGGGAATAGATAACAAAACTAATGGCTTGATTCTTGTATCCTAGCAGCTGCTTCCAGATAGAATGCTCTAAAGAGAAAGCTCATCATTACCAGGATTATTTTATACCATTTTTAGCTGAGGTAATGCTCTGAACTGTTAGGTAAGGAACAAAGACAGTGAGAACGGCAGCAAGCAGTGAATAAGCAGGCAGAAAGACTTCCAAGGAGAGTAAGGGACTTTTTTTTTTTTTTTCCAGTAGTACAACTAAACTTCATTAGCAATAACAGAAGGTAGATTTTCATAGAGTCCTAGGGAGACTGCAACCAGGAAGCAACTGGAAGTTGATGGACTACAAAGGAGGATGGGAGAGAGAGATCTATCCAACAAGATAGCATATAAATGGAGGGAACAGATTTGCTTTCAAATTTATTTACTTTTTATTTACTCAGCCTTTCCCTTATGAAGAAAGGCTGAATGACTTGGACTTGTCTAGCCTGGGGAAGAAAAGGCTCCAGGGAGACCTTGTTGTGGCCTTTTAGTATTTGAAGGGAGCTTATGAGCAGGAGGGTGACAAACTTTTTACACAGTCCAACAGTGATAGGACAAAGGCAAATGGTTTTAAACTAAAAGAGGAGAAACGTAGATGTTAGGATGTTAGATGTTAGGAAGAAATTCTTTACTCAGAGGTTGTTGAGGCTGTGGCACAAGGTGCCCAGAAAGCTGAGTGCCCCATCCCTGGAGGCATTCAAGGCCGGGTTGGATGGGGCCCTGGGCAGTCTGATCTGGTGACTGGCAACCAGTCCATGACAGGGGTTGGAACTCAGTGATCTTTAAAGTCCTTCCGACCTAAGTCATTCTGTGACTGCTACTGAGCCTTTCACCAAGTCTCTGGTGTGGGTGAGGAAGTGTCCTGTTCACAGGCAGTTTCATCCTTGTCTGGGTAGAGAGAAATGCTCTAAGCTGACCTCCAACCAGCAGCACAGGAAATGGGCTGACATAGTGAAGTCAGGCCAGAGATGTAAATGTTGTGCTTGAAAAATGAAGTTCCATGCTTAGTTGTGACAAACTAAAACCAGCAACTTAAGCTAGTAGGTGTTCGTGAGGGACTATTTTCAAACTGGAAACTAATACTCTGATAGAAAAATCACTTGTGCTGAAAAATATTGATTTTTTTTTTTATTCTGTGGAATTGCCATTGCTCTAGGCTAGACATAATACTTATTTTTATTACAGTGTCAGCGCAGTGTTGTTAGAGGCTTCTCACCTCTGGCCCACAAGGATGTATATGTTAGTCCCAAAACACTGTTGACATTGCGATGTTGCATTATTGAGTGCCATTGTTAAGCTGAGATGTCACACAAAGGTCCGTCCTGTCTGTCTGGGGAGATACTGGGCAAGCTCAAGTGCTTAATTTATTGGACAAAACCTTAAAGGTTTCTAAAGCTTTTATATACCAAATGTCACTAAATGCTTTTATCCACTGCTTATTATTTCTTTTTTTTTTTTTCCTGTGCCTCAGAATTTTCATTAGCCTTTAGAAAACGCTTTTTTTTGGTTGGTTGGTTTGGGTTTCTGGTTTTGGAAGTCAGGGGGGAGGTTGCTTGGGTTTGGGTTATTTTTGCTTTTTTGTTTGGTTTGCTTTGCTTTGCTTTGCTTTTTTGCGTCATGTCTGAGCAGTGCTGCTCTGGAATATGCAAAGTAGAAATCCACCATAAGTGCTTTGGTCTTATGACTGACAGCATCATTTCCTAATGGTGGCAGCTGGAAAAATGCCAAACATTAAAGCTGAGATATTGGTTGCGTTATTAAATTCTACCAAAATCTTCCTACATCTTTTTCTTTTTGGATAGCAGTGGTTCTTTTCATCCTTGAGTGGTTGAAGAGGAAAACAATTACACAGAAATGACACAGTTTGTGTAATAATGACTGTGTTTTGACAACATTATTGTTGATATTATATATCATTTTTAAAATGAGTACAAATTTTGTAATTCTAACTAATGTCCACAAAACGGTGCTTTGGGCTCTTTGGTCCTCAAACAATGAATCAGGAGGGATTACACTGACCTGCTAATCTGTAGTGTTCATCCTCTTCCAATAGTTCGCACACAGGAGCAAATTAAGTGCCTATTTTTTGTGTCAAGCCTGCAGAGTATCTGGTTTTTCAGCCCTTAGTGACTTGTTAACAAACAGGTATCAGGACAGGCTGGTGAAGGCAGGCCGCTGGCCAGTCAGATGTGAAATAGCATCTCTTTACTAACTACAGTATTGATTCCCGCCTACCCCTGCAAACTGTGTAATTTTCTTTTCCCTGCTGCTAAACTCAGTAACAATGTATGAAGAGCTTTAGGGGCCCATCAATGCTCAAAAAGGCTGCTCTTCCCTGGCATTCTATTGATTTTTCTCAAAGGCTTTTAAATTGCTCCTTCATTTTACTCGAACGCTCATTTCATCTTTACTGGATGCCGGCATTTTTTCGTTGTGTTTAAACAATTGCTCCATTCACTGGGTTCCTAAACTGTGACGCCTTCTTATTACTGGGAGATAAACTGTTTAGACAGTTTTCCTTAATCTTGGATTAATCGTTCCTGTATCTGAATTGTACTGTTGTATTCATTCAGTTCAAAAAAAAAAAAAAAAAAAAAAGCCACTGAAGAAACCCATCTCTTCAAGTCTTATGATCTATCAAGTATACAGGTTCTATTTTCTCCCTCTGTGATTCTCCTGCCAAGTTCTACACGGCTCCATTTTCCTCATGCTTTTTTTGTTGTTGTTGTTGGATTTTAACCTCTTTGCTTTTGCATATCGTACCAATAGGTTTGATCTCACCAATCTAACGCTGGCAAATAACTTTAGCAAATAGCTCTGGGATTCCTAAGCACTGCATTCTGAAGTACCTCTGGCCTTCTCAAACTGTTAGCAGTATTTGTCATGTTTTGTACATAAGTGAAATTGTCATTTAGAGCTGTACATTTTCCCAAAGATGTTAAATGAGAGTAGAAGTTTGGTGTTACGGTTTCTGCTGACTTACTTGAATCTATATGACAAATGGCTGGTTATTAAAACAAGGAATTTTGACTTTCATGCTGTGTGGGTAACATTACTCTCAAACTAAATGCCCAACATGTTTATAAAGTGGTGCCATTTTCTTGAGTTTACATAGATATCTCCAGGTAGAAAAACTGACTGTCCTGTGGCCACATGTTTACTTACTGCTGCTTTTATCTTTCATTCTTGTACTGGTGTGCAAAACTGTGCTAATGATGAAAGATAAGTGCTTCCTCCAATTTACAGTCTAATTCATTTATGCTTATTCCCATGGTGACTACTGTGCTCAGAATTCACTTAGTGGGGTTGGATTCTGAAGCATTAAGGATTTTATAGAACTGTAAAACAAGTTTTTGAAGAAAGATGTTCACATGGGCTATTGTCAAGAAACCTGATTTAAATAACGAATCTGATGCAGCGTGGTATAGTTACAAAGAGTGACCCTTTCAGATGCAAAATTGGGCTTATGGCAACAAGGTCATATCTTATTCAAGAATTACATGTCAGATGCCAGTTACATTTTGAAGCAAATAAAATCAAATGCAGAAATGTTACAATATTGCTATTTTATAATATTTTATATAGGTAGTTACCTGTTATTCTCTAAAATTGACAAACTCCATATTTTTCATTTTTAAGCTTTTTTTTCAGAATTTATTCCTGAAAATAAGTTCCACAGCTACATTGTTGGCACTTTGTTCAGTTCCTAAATAATGATTGCTGTGTTTATGTCAGCTCTCCTGCATGGAATATTTTCCTTGGAACTGTGTTGCTGTAAAAGCTTAAGTCTTCATACAGAACAGTTTTATCTGCAGCAGGTAATAATAGATACTGATCCCAGACTGGCAGGTCTTTTTTTATCAAGGTCTGTGGTTTTGACTAACTGCTTTATCCTCCTCTCCCTTCATGTACACAACTTAAAGCACTGACTCTGCCCTTGCCTAGGGGCGACAAGAACCTTTACTTTAGGTAAGGCTGCAAATTCTGCTTAGGCTTGAATTTTCAAAGTGCCTGGTTTTTCTTATGAACAGAGTGGCGGGATCCAGAATTCATGAGAGAAGTCGAAGCAGCCACAGGAGTGGATCTTGGTTCCTCTAAAAATAATGGGAGAGGAGGAAAAAAGAAAGGGAAGAAGAAATACCCAAATCTGACAGACCTGAAGCAGCAGGCTAACACTGCTCGTTCCCGGCTTGAGAAGATAGTCTTCAATAAGTAAGATACTCATGTTTTCTAAAGCTTGCTAAATTATTGTTTCCCTTTATTTTAGTGGTATTTTTGTTTCTACACAATAAACAGCTTCCTCTGCCAGTGGAAGAGCACGAATGCCTTTTGTGCTGCTGGAGAGTAAAAACCAGGTGACAGAGGTTATTTCTTAGAGTATGATTTGCAGCTAATTTATTAAATTTTCCTATTATTTTTATCATTTTCATCTATTTTAGCCTGTAATTGTTGTAGTGTCTTCTTTTGGATGAACATTTGTTAATGGATGGATGGATGCTACTGCATGCATACAGAAAGCATTGGATGTGGAAAGAGTGACACAATTTACAAACCAGACACACTGTAGTAGCATAGATGAAGTGAGAACAAAGCTTTTTTTTTTCTTCTTGAAAGCCTGAAATGGGTTGTCCTAAGCAGAACTGTAATAAAAGTGTGTGTATGAAATCTTGGCTTTTCCCACGTGGTTGCTCTCAAGCTTTTCAGAGACCTCCACAAACTTTCCTGAACTTTGCTCCTGTGTGTCTTCTCTTGCTCTCATGTGTATTAAATTTGTAGCTCAGTCTGTGCAGTGCTTCCCAGTACAGTGCACACACAGCAATTCTTTGTCTGTATCATTCACAGAGATACTGCTAATGCATTTTCTTCTCCTTTACTGAGAACACAGTCAAGAAAAAATATTCAGATCCTTGTGGTACAGTGTTGCTCACATCATAGCACTGTCAGTCCTTCTCCCTTTCCGCTCTGCACAAGTGCAAACAGTGGAAAATACTTGGATTGAAAAGCAGCAAATACTCAGAAATGTTAAGAACCTAACATAATCATAACTTCCACATGTTGAAGGCTAGGCACTAATGCACATGATTATTTATGCACCCTCACCTTTACTTTTCAAAAATGCAACCAATAGCTATTTATTTGCAAGAAAGCTCGGCTTCCCTGAGGTGACCATTCAAGGGATAGATTGAATATTCTAACACTTTGCCCTTGACATTCACACAACTTGCTGGCTCAAGGTAAATGGAGTTTTGAAATTCACGTAGTTTGTAAGTAGCGTGATTCCACTGAAGGAAGGATATTACAGAAAAGCAGTCAAGTAGCACAGGGCTGCTACTCCAAGCGTGGCACCAAAGTGGTTTGCAGGATGTCTTCCTCTCCCAAAGCAGGTTTGTGAATGTGATGCTTAAATTCTAACAAGTCTCAATGTTGAAATTCAAGACATTGTCAGTTAACTCTGTACCTCCAGACCTACAGTAGTAAAAACATGAACCTCTGTTGCTGAAATGCTTCGAGCTACTGTTATTTAGGGACCACTAATTAATTTGGATAACTCCAGTAACTGCAGGAAACATGGGCCTTGTAGAAATGTGTTTGCTTAATTTTATGACTCTACAGATGGAACTACTTTTTTTATCATTCTGAAACAATTTACTTCTGGAAAATACCCCATGCTGTCCCCATGGACGCCCTTTGGCATTTAAACATTTTTGGCAAAGATGTGTTCATGACTTACATAGGCATTCATGAGAAAAAAAATTGAAGCAGGCTGGCTCAGATGCAAGTGGGAGTCCACAACCCTCCTACAAGCTGAATAGGTTTTAGAATATTTAGTAGCACCATAGGCCAGCTCTCCTGCACTGTTTCTTGTGTGTAGTCTTGGTTAGGTCTGTTTGCAACAAAAAACTTGTCTGAGCATGCTCTGGTCTTCATCAGAAGGGAAGCAGCTGCAATTACTTAAAGTTGTTAAAACTGAAGTAGTCAAAGCAAAGAGGAAGGTTGTTAAGTCAAAAAAGCAAAAATATTAAATCATTAGTGACTATTCCCTAAATATATTGTACGACTTGAACAGCATCCACGATATTTGTTTGAATTCAGTTTTCTCTTTTATGATGCAGTAGGTATAACAGGGCTAAATCCATGTTGATTTCAATTACAAAGTAGATCCTTTCTGTGACAGTTTCATGTTACTTGATCTTAAAGTCGAAAACCATGCTGTTGTAATAATATGAATTTGATATCAGCTTTAATGAAATAAATTTCAAAAGCTGTTTTTGGTTTACTCTGCTCTGTACTAATGATTATGAATGTGTGGTAGTGCCAGGTATAGGGAATCAAACCTGTCATGTTTTAATAGGTTTCATGCTTTGCAGCACTAAACAAGATGATAACCTTGACTCCTTATAACAACCCCAAATTACTTGAAATGTATAGGTGATAAACCAAGGCTCTCATCTGCCAATAAAGTTAAGTGAAATTGCACAGAGATCATCAAAGTGGGATCTCATTTCATTTACAGTATCACACAATCCAGGGGTGCTAATGTAAAAACTACATGACATGAAAGTGGCAAGGCCACTCGCCACTGCTAAAGGCTCACTTTTCTCCTACCAATTAGGCAATATTTGAAGAGCAAAACCATGACCACATTTTCTCTACTCTGTTAACTTTATTGGCAGAATTTTGTTAAAAGAAACCCACTTTCAAGTTTGTTTTTTTTTTTCAGAATGCTAGCTTTGATTACAGTTGCTGCTGAGAAAATCTTTAATCCTGCTATTTAGAACCACTATTGAGAGGTATCCTCTGTTTTCAGATGTTTCAAAATAGCTTTTAAAGTTAAACCATTAAAGGGAACAGTTAGTTACAACAAAAGTCAGATTGCCTCAGAGGTAACCGGGGAGCAGAGCTGTAGTAGTGTGTAGACCTGATCCTGAGAAGAGTCACATCACCTGGTGGATGCCTTTTTCTCATTCTACGAGCCACCCTGCAGCATCTGCAGAGAAAGGCAGACTGCAATAATGTGGAGGTTAACAGACTCGAAACCATCCGCTTTGAGTGAAGGAACAGGCAGACTGTATTTCTAGAGTATAAATGGAGACATCAGTCAGTGCCACATCCTTAAACTGGATGGAGTCCCTCAGACGAAGCCCTTAGCTGATGTACCTTTCTGAGCAGCAGAACACTGAGATCTTTCCAGAGGAGTGGCAGATGACTTCCTTTCCCAGAAACAGTGGCAGTGTGATGACGTACCTGCAAGTATCAGTCTCAGCTGTTTGAGCATTTCTGCTAGAAGCACCCAAAGTAACTAATAAAAATTGGCAGTCTGGAGTCCACTGAAGAATAAAATACCTTGGGCATCCCCTACTTAGCTGTGCACTGTACCTTTCAAAGGTTTTTGTAGAGACAGATACACACACAGCATTCTCTTGATTGCTACTGCTGCCTTCCCAACTAAAGCTCTGCAATGTTAATTTCTCTCTGCATATGACATTCTCTCTGCAGTTTCCTTCAAATCGTGTTGTGCTCACAGATGAAACAAAGTTGTTGCTCGGCAGTAAGGAGGCTGATGGTGTAAGAGGTTCTGACTCTTCATACAGCTGATAAAACTGATTTTTAGGAACGTTGGAAGGAAGTTGCTGAATAAGTTACAGTTAAACTTTCCCTTATGAAAACATTCTAGATTTTGCAGGTTATATTTGGTAGGTGTTTCTGAGTATTAGTTTAGTTTTTTCATCCTGTTAGGTATTTTTAGTTGTTGTTGTTGTTGTTTTTTAACCTGTAGAAAGGATAGATGCTTTTGCAAATCAAGTTTACATGTGACTATCAGAAAATAGCACTAAGAAGATAGAATAGACAGCTATTAAACTGAAAAGCTTTAGATTGGTTTACTCCTGCTAATAAAATCATTGCTGAATTAAACTATTTGTATTGCTACAGCTAATTTGGTTAACAAGACTGTGTTCAACTCCAGTGCAGCATTCACAGGCCTAATGGCAATTTATCTTCGTTCATTTTTCCCTCAACATTTATAAATAATCTGAGATTCCATAGAATCAATACAAGAGCCTTTATATATTTTTTGTTTCTCTTGCAGAGGTGCTGTCAAACGAGTGGTGAAAGCAATGAATCAGATGGACCAAAGAAAGCATGAGAAGTTTGCCAACCAGTTTAACTACGCACTGAATTAAGTTGTAGCAAAATGCAAAGAAGATGAACAAAAGTGCAACTGTACAAAGCTTTAGCACGGGCCTCCATGTTTGAAATACTGCGCTGTGTGAATTTTTACTGGGATTACTTTTTAAAGTGTTTTTAATTTCTAATTTATTTTACAATTAACAAGAATATTGGCAAAGATGTGAAAGTACATAATGGACTTAATACACTTAGTGATAAGTATTGGAAATTTACCTGAAATAGAACTTATTTTATGACTTCTGCATACTCTGAGTAAGATGTTCAGGGCCTTTTTGCCTTCCTAAGGGACCAGTATCATTTACACATTGTTTGCCAGCACAGTTGTGGTTTGCCTTGACTTTCATACCTTCAGAAAGATGCCTTAGAAACAGTTTGATTTTCACTTGAGGTGGTAACATGCAGGCTATTTTCTCAGCCTTACATTCTAGAAAGACTACTACATCAAGCAGGCCCCTAGCTCCAGCACCTCTGAAGGCTTCTTGCACGTGAACTGGAAAAAGCCAAACACATTCATGATCAGAAGACAACAATTTGATTTCAGCAGGTTTACAAGCCGTTTCAAACTCGCAGCTGTGGCATCAGTGTAGAAGCTGAAATTAAGTCAGTCTTGATCTCCTTCTTCACAGAATCACAGAATTGTAGGGGTTGGAAGGGACCTCCAGAGATCATCGAGTCCAACCCCCCTGCCAAAGCAGGTTCCCTACAGCAGGTCACACAGGTAGGCATCCAGGCAGGTCTTGAACATCTCCAGAGAAGGAGACTCCACCACCTCCCTGGGCAGCCTGTTCCAGTGCTCCGTCACCTCACTGTAAAGAAGTTCTTGCGCACATTTGTGCAGAACTTCCTATGCTGCAGTTTCCAGCCGTTTCCCCTTGTCCTGTCTCCACTCAACCCTGAAAAGAGTCTGGCCTCACCATTCTTGACTTCCCACTAACTTTCTGAAATGAGTTTGGAAAGCATGTTATGATAAGTTGTGGAGATATAGTTAAAATGTGCTGGAGTTTAAGAGGTGCCAAAAAAGCTGCATTACAAAGAGGTTTTTTTAAGAAAATTACTCAGGTGGCTTACTGAGTAAGTGAACTGCCTGACTTCAATCAGTTAAAAAAAAAAAAACCGGTTACATTAGTTTCAATCCTAGGAGTGCATGTAGGGACCTAAATACACACAAACACCTGAATGCTTTTAACACATTGGATCCAGGCGCTTGGTGTCTGTGGGGCTTATTATTGACAGTGTTTAGTTCAATCTCTCCTAACTGCTTTGCTGGCTATCATCATCGTGTCAGAAGTAGAATTAAATGAAATAAACATTGACTGATTGTGCTCCTGTGGGGTTTCAGACAGCTTTATCAGTGAAGGAAGTTGGGAGTATCAAGGAAGATAGTGTTTGAACTGAATTTCAAAACGAAAGTAGAAGTCTTCAGTAAAACACAGAACACAAGTTAGAATGGATTCTCTACAGCACCAGTGTAGTTACTCACCTGCTTGAGATACTTCCTTGTACAGCAAGAGACTCCCTAGGAATTTAAAATGAAATCCTGTGTAGGTTTTGATCACCTGAGACAAGAGCTGATTTACAGCTCTGCCATGTATCTGTTGACTTGCACAAGTACTGCTAAGAAAGCAAGCAATGATTATTTAATCTTCCAGATCTTTGCAGTTTGGAAGACTTTTTTCTCTCCAACACATATTTAGAAGAATACTTCTACACTATGACAAATAATAAACAGCATCTGTTAAAGCAAGAATTTCTTAGTTATTTACTGCGCTGGAAACCAAAGCTGTGTCTACTGGCCATCTAGCTAACAGCAAAGGCTGCAGCAGAAGGCACAGGCTAGGATGGTACTCATCACCAGATCAGCTGAATCAACTGATCAACTGGTTTTATTTATTGGCAAAGACAAAAAACAAAAAACAGCAGAGCTCACGTACTTGAATGCAATGTAGCTCAATGGACACTGATATTACAAAATAGTCCATATGAAAGTTCTTGGTCTTGGAGATATTAATATTTATGCGAATAGTTCCACTGTTGGAGACTTTTGAGCCTGCACTGACTGAAGGTCTTCATTTGTGTAGGTGTGTTTCTTCTGATCTCTGTAAAAAAAAGGGGAGAAAAGGTGACATGCAACCTTTTGACACGAAGTGTCAGCACAAGCAAGCTTCTGGGAAACAGTGGGCATACTTCAGCTCATAGAGTTTCCACTTGGAGTTTTCAGTAAAACAAAAAGCTCTCGTGACCAAGATTAGAAAAAGGAATGGTTTAAAGCTGTGAGAAAATAAGCCAAGCAAATTATACTCATCTACAATGCTTCTTAAGAGCCGTATGAGTTCTGAATTATCAGCTGAAACTTCTTTATTTTTGTTTTGAGGCAAGGATTTTGTTCTTCAGTTAGTGACAAGGATTTCTACACCCACTTGTGTATGAAGTGTTTCTTCATGTTTTGGCCTTGAAGCAGGAGAGACAGCTGGCTACTCAGAAATGCACATCAAATGCACTGCCTCCTTAACTCTACCTTTATGTTAGCCTGACCTTTGTACCATTAAGGATCTTCCCTTCATCCATAGTGTTTGAAGAAACACATGCTTCCCCTCCCATGTTAATTATTGCCTCATTTACTCAAAGGCTTTGCCAAGTTCCACTTTTAGGAGTATACATACAACAGATTTTGCCTTTGTAAACATCCTCATTAGAACTGGTCAGACATAATTCAGCGAAATTTAAGAGCTTTCTCCTTTTTCTGGGTTCATCTGTGGCTCTGATGGAGGAAAAAAAATAATAAAGACATCTATCACCAGTGATATCAGAAAGCAAGAACTTCTCCATGCTTATTCTTAGTAGAGCATGATTGCATCTGGCAAGTAAAAACTCAAAAGGAAGAAACTAGCATGCATAAATTTGGTGCTGATGAAGGTGGGAATGAAGGCGCTGACCTCTAATAGAGAGCACAGTGACAAACAGGTTTGGTATGAAGTTTGAGCAAAATAAGAGCACATCTCTCTGAAGTTACTGATACAGAATGATGGGGCCCTGCTCACCTCTTACATGATAACTTCCAGTTTTATTATCAAAACTTACTTCAGGATTTGCTGAAAAATTCTGTTAGAAAAGTGTAACCCTTAAATGCTCTTAAATTGTATATACTTAAATAAGAAAAACACAGGGTTTGGTTCTGCATTGACAATGTATCATACTGTGTAAAACAATCTGTAGGTTGGTGGCAGCTGTATGTTCAAGATGACATTAAGGAAAACAAAAGAAAACTACAAAAAAAAAGTTCAAATTAAAGCACTGTGAAAGTGGCCGATAAGGTTGTTCCTTATTATAAAGAGCTGCTAGCCAGAGACAAGAAATGCTGAATCTCAGGAACCTAGCAAACAAAAGCCTAATTTAGCATGCAGTGGAGTAGTTCAACAGCAGAGATAGCCATCTGATGGTGTTTTATACCCATGAAAATACTTCACTGTTCATGGCTCATCCAGTGCTATTAATTAATGATTGTAATCATGGAGATAGAAACGTCCTCATAGAGTACACATCAGAGAAGGTAAGAACATCTGGATGTTTTGGCAGCACTTAGGTGATGAAAATGAGTCATTAAAGCCATACCTTTTGAAATGATACTACCATGCTGAAAAATACCATGCTATTACAGGATAATCTGAATGCCAATAACATAGAAATAAACCATCTGCAAATTGTCCCAGAGGATGTCCAGGTGCCTAAGCCTAGAAACACAGCCAAAACACTGCTGAAAGTTGGACTCAAGGTCTGACCTGCTGTGGGTGTCACTGGACTTCAGATCTAGGCCAGAGTTCTGGTTTAAACCTAGCAAGACTAAGGGAAAAGAAAAAAAAAAGAAAAAAAGAAAAGATGAGCATTTAGGAAGGTTTGATCTGACGTGCATTTTCACAGCAACCAAACACATACCTTAGTATTTGTTTTTAAAGAGGCAGTGGGAATCATACACTCGAAAGCTAAAGTGCTGGAGCACACATCCAGGAGACAGTTCCCATCACTCATGCTCCCATGGGAGCTGAAACTCAACCCAATGGAGCAAAATATGCCTTGCATAGGAGACCAGCCAGAAGGAAAAAATAAAAAATTAAGCCTTCTAGACTTAACCACAGTCCCTATGCTGGGGCTGGATCCTCATCCCCATCCCTACACACCTGCCCATGAAAAATACTGCTAAGCATCTTAGATTCAGGCAAGAGTTTGCTCACAGTGATAGTGGTCACTGGCTAGAAGATCAGCCCTAAGGGCTTTGTGAGAAAGGTGTTACTGTGACAACTACTGGAAAGCAATTTCTCCGTGTTGGTTTTAAGACATTTGAAGAAAGTAATTAACAGTGTCTTGCGAGGACAAAACAACTTCATGTGTTTGGAAGCCTGAAGGGGTGTCCTTCACTATGTGCTGCCCTGAGGACAACACTTTAGAGCTAACAGTGCACAACAATATCCATATTGGAAGTTGAGAAGCATTGGATAGGATAGGTTCTAGGCATCAGGGAGAGGTAAACCAGAGGCAGAAGGCAACAAGGCAGAAAGAGCAGGGTCCTTCATGACAGTAACCAGAACCAGTCAGCACCTAGAGCTTACCTGACAGTTCATCATGATAAAAGGCAGGTCTGGAGTCAAGTCAGCTAGGGACGCAGCAGGTAAGGTACAAAGCCAAGCACAGAACAGCTCAGCTCAGCAAAAGGACTTTACCAAAGCATAGCTTCTCCACAAACTGAAGGATGGAGACTTCACAGAATCTTCTGAGTTGAAAGGGACCTTTAAAGGTCATCTAGTCCAACTCCCCCACAGTAAATAGGGACACCTACAGCAAGATCAGGTTAATCATAGAATGGTCTGGGTTGAAAAGGACTATAATGATCAAGTTTCAACCCCCTGCTGTGTGCAGGGTCACCAACCAGCAGACCAGGCTGCCCAGAGCCACATTCAGCCTGGCCTTGAATGCCTCCAGGGATGGGGCATCCACAGCCTCTGTGCAACCAGTTCCAGTGCATCACCACCCTCTGTGTGAAAAACTTCCTTCTCTCAGAGCCTGGTCCAGCCTAACCTTGAATATCTCCAAGAATGGTGCTTCCACCACCTCTCTAGGCAAACTGTTCTTTCTTACATCTCTTCCAGTTCAGCTGATTTCATGGCAGTCACACCCAAGGTCATGCAGCTGTGCCATATCAGTATTGCAAATCAACACCTGGCAGGTGGTGGGATGAGGCTGCTGATTAGAATTACTGACAAAGATGGCTAAATGGAGAAAATAGAGCCTGTTGTTACATTCAGAGCACTTGGAGCATCCTTGAATGTGACTATGGTCCTTTCTATTACAAAATCCTCTATAGATGTTGGAGGACTTAAGGAAGAGTGTAGAAAGCACCATAAGCAAAGTGCTTTGAGCAGCAGCCTTGATCAGGAACAGCCTGGACCCTCCATCCAGCAACACTGATGACTCCTTCAGCTGAAATTGATGGTAGAGATCCCCAAACACATCCCCTAGAAAATACATGTAGATGAGCCTGTCTAGCACATGAGCAAATTATGACCTACGGGAAAAGATTATTGCTGTTCTAGCTTCAGGTGCTGTTTCTGAAGGAAAAGAAGGAGATAAAGTTAGTAATTCCTCAGGTTTCTGAGTTGGTGCTTTCTCTCCTCTTCCTTCAAAACAGATCAAGTGGAGAATTAAATTGTACTCCTGTTGAACCTTTCCTGCAAGCTCAGCTGTTGCTGATGATGGTACTTCAATGCCTGATCCTAAGCTGCTGCAGCAAAAACTCCTCCCTGAGCTAGCAGACCTATAATACCAGCATTCATATGTGAAATATTTTTTTTTTTAATTTAAGCTCAGCCTTGTTCTTTCCAAGAGCAGTAGACGTGCCTTTGCTTATCTGCCTGTTACTGCCCTGAGCAAAACCCCAGCTACAAAGTGCTCATTACACTTTTACATTAACAGCAGGAGTCACTTTTGTCAAGGGGTTAAGGAAAAAGATTGTTAAAATTGTTTAAATACGGTACTAATTAGTTTAGATGTAATGAAACAGCATTAGGCATCCGGTTTCTTTGCAAGGGATTGTTGGATAACCATTTCTGCCGACGCTGCAATTTGCATAATGACAAGGTGTTGGCATTGCATCCACCATTAATTTGCTATATTTATAATGCCATTATGGATCCACTCTTATTCACACACACTATAAAAGATATATCGAAACATAATACACAATTCTGCTTGTTTGGAAATTGCTTTTGGATATCTTTGATTTTCTGTAATAGCATTTTTGTCACTTGAATGCTAACAGCACCAGGAGGAGATTTGCCACACACAGTTCTGAGCCCTGAAATTCAATATTGCTTCCAAGTGGGCATGAGCCTTTATTTTCCTGAATCCTGAAGAAGGGGAAAGTGGAAGCATGATCAGGAATGCTCAAAGCAAATGCAGTATTTCATCCAAACACTTAACTACAAGGTGCATTAAGTCCTTTAAGTTCCAAACATTCTTAAAACATTACCAAATCTTCAATAGATCTTAGCTAGGGCAGTTTGCTATTAGCACTGTACATCAACAACCAGTTGCAAAGCCATACCAGCAGCCCATCAAAATGCTCCTGTGCTTTTCTTCCCCTATGCAGTCTCTAGGGATCAACTCAGAAGAAATAAAGCTTGTCACCCTACCTATGGTAAGGTGGAAGGATGGGGAAGAGTCTCTCTGAGCTCAGTTGTGCAGGACAGGCTCTTCCACTGTGTGTTATAGAATCACAGAATGTCCTGGGTTCAAAAGGACCACAAGGATCATCCAGTTCCAACCCCCTGCTATGTGCAGGGTCACCAACCAGCAGACCAGGCTGCCCAGAGCCACATCCAGCCTGGCCTTGGATGCCTCCAGGGATGGGGCATCCACAGCCTCCTTGGGCAACCTGTTCCAGTGCATCACCACCCTCTGTGTGAAAAACTTCCTCCTAATATCTGACCTAAACCTCCCCTGCCTCAGTTTAAAACCATTCCCCCTTGTCCTATCACTATCCACTCTTGTAAAGAATCTGTGGTTGTAAAACAAACAGGAATTGGACGTTAATTGAAATACATGTAGTAAGGCTAGATTTCTTTTTCTGTACTGGGAAAGCAGTAGATTATAAAAGGGGTGAATCTTTATTGTGTCAATCGTCTTCTCACACATATTTCTGTAACTTGCAGTTCTCTGTTGCAGTGTCAGCTCTCAATGCTTCTGTATAATGTCACTGGTTTGTGACAGTGCAGAGAAGAAAATACAGAAGATAGTGATATTTTTAAAATGAAGTCTAACACTTAAGGTGGGGTGTTGGTTTCAACTAGCTAAAGATCTGTCATACACCAAGTTTAAATTAGTAAATCATATACTGGACTTGGCAGATGCTTGTCACATTGCCTGAACCTGCATGCCCAGACTTCTGGGTCCTGGACATGAGTTGGTCTGTGTCCTTGGTGTTTTCCTGTAGGTTCAGGGTGCATGCAGAGGATTTCTCCTGAATGGGCACTGTAGTCTTATCAGCTCTAGATTTCTAATGCTCGGATAAGCTCAAGCATTGCTTTGAGGCTTTTTTTGTATGATGAATCCATGTGCCTGTCATACAGTGTCAGACATGGAGAAAGGGCTCTTCCTGCCAGGGTTATTTTCACCGTGACAGCCATCATTCTGTCCCCCAAGTTGTGCAGGTAATGTGACCATGTGCAGAACAGGAAGGTCAGAAACAAACAAAAAGCTTACAGAAGTGCATCAGGTAGAGAAGAAAATAGTTTATGTAAACCCACCTTGTGAGAAAAACTTGTTAGGATTGCATTTGTTTACTTGCTTGTCTCCTTCATCTTCAGTGTCCACTCTGATCTGTGTAAAATTCCCAGAGTCTGGCAAATCTTCAAATATAATTTAAAATGTTTTATCTACTCCTAGAGTAGATAAAACAGGCTCTAGAATAGCTGTGCTTTTTTGCTTACCCTTTGAGTCACAATCTCAATAACTGTCCACACACACTGTAAAACTTAAATGAGAATTTAAGTTAAATATGTCAGTGTTAGAGCAGGACTATTTTACATATGTAATACATGAGGTAGTGGATGTTTGCCTCCTGTGCATAACCATGTATTGTTCAAGAAATAATTTAAATGGAGTTTTGTATGGAAAAATTAACATTTTGCTTATTTAGTGTATGAGCAGAAATGTGAAATGCGACTGCAAGTTCAGCCTCAAACAGAGGGTTTACAGTATATGAAAAAAAAATCTCATCTAAAACCAGAATGGCACTTTTTTTTTTTTTTGTGGTGAGGAAATATAGAAGATTGGTCTCTAATTAATCTTATATAATTTCATTAGCTATGGTGTGTAAGCAATGAGAGAAAATATTTCAAAATATTTTGAGTTCTCTCCCAGTTACTTGAAGCAGATCTGTACTTGTGTGCTTTTTCTCTTATTTGTTCTTAAGATATTTAATGCAATTTATTCTGTGAACATTAACACCTGTTCTATATAAGCAGGAATATTCAGAACAAGACAAAATAGATGCAGATTCTTTCTCTTTCTGTTTAATTCTGTCACAAACACGGTAAACAGTGGTAAGATGCAATTAGTGTCTGAATCGTGTCTCACAAAACAGGCTTGCAACCTTGGATTTAACTGAGAGTCATAGAATCATAGAATGGTTTGGATTGGAAGGGACGTTTAAAATCATGTAGTTGCACCCCTCTGCTATAGAAAGGGACACCTCCCTCTAGACCAGGCTGCTGACAGCCCATCCCGCCTGGCACTGAACACCTCCAGGGTGGAAGCATCCACAGCCACTCTGGGCAACCTGTTCCGGTGTCTCACCATCCTCACAGTAAAGAATTTCTTCCTAATGTCTAGTCTTAACATTGAGTTTTGTAGGAATTTATTTAAAAATGTGCAGGGGCAGGGACATGGGCAATGAAGTTAGGACATTCAAACAGATGGGAGCATCTGGCACTTGTTGCTGAACATTTACACAAAGGATGTTTCTGAACCAAAGCCCCACGTGGATACCACCAAGCTTCTCCCTGGCAGGCACACAGCCTGGTTACAGGACAGTGGTCCAGGGAGCACCATCTGAGAACTTAATCTTCGGCACTGCTCCTGCTCATACTATAAAAGGCCTCTAGATGTGGGCTGTGACTTAAGACTGACTACATGGTACACAGTCTGTGTGCTGGGAAAGCTCTGCTACAGCCAAGGCTTTTTGGTTTTTGTATTGACTTCTATGTGCAGAACATCAACTGGATGAGACATTCAAGCAAGAATTGTCAATAACTTCCTAACCAATGCTAAGAAATACCCCTCAGAGTCTGTTTTCAGCATTGCCTTAAAATGTGAGAAGCCTTGTTAAGATGGATTTAATGACTGCGAATCTCAGGCTGACTCCTTCCTCCAGCAGCTGTGAGTAATAACACTCACACAGACAGGTTTTGCTGGCAGGAGGCTAAGTGACTCAGAGCCGGAAAATCATCTGCTCCAGAGCTCCGAGCATTTCCCATTTAGCACTGGAATACTTTTCAGCTAGAGGAACTGCTTGGAGTTCCCTCTGTGTTTGCTATTTCTCTTAAGGAAGCTATTTTTTCTCTAATGAAGCCCCATCTGAGCTACAAACACCAGCACTAGTAGCGTTTGCTCAGACCTGGTCAGCAACAGGTTGGTTTGACAAGTTTTCTCAGCGACCCCTTCCCAGTTCGTCTGTTTTTCTCCTGTCAGTTGAGAGCTGTGCTCCAAGCAACCCTTATCAGAGAATCATAGGATGGCCTGGGTTGAAAAGGACCACAATGATCGTCTGGTTTCAACCCCCTGCTGTGTGCAGGGTCACCACCCACCAGACCCGGCTGCCCAGAGCCACATTTAGCCTGGCCTTGAACCCTTGTAGCGTTCTCACTGAAAACTTACTTCGGAACACTTTTTATCACAACACTTATTACCAAACGCAAACGGGTTCGCACGGTTCTGAAGGTCGAGAGATGAACTCTCGGAACAGGGCGAGGTGCCGAACCTTTCCTGGCGCTGAGGCCGGGCCCTCCCGCATTATAGCGCCCCCTGCCGGATGCACCGCGGCGCCGCGTTCCCGCCCAGCCGCTCGGCTCCTTGCGAGGGAGGACGGACGGAAGGCAGCGCGGCTGCCAGCGGCTGGGATGTTCTGTAAGAGCTCCTTAAAATCACGCGAGGAAAAGCTGGATTCATAAAGTTACCTTAGGAGAGCAGCCGTCACGTTTCTGAGCTGAAAAATAAAACAAACAAAATCCAGACACAACAGTGGGAATCGGGAGTTCCCTTCTGTACGAACTTTGGGATCACATGGGGAATGAGGTCCCTGCAGCCCGTTCGGGGTAGACGAAGCGGTCCGGCTTTGCAATTAAGAAGAAATAAAATAAGGTTTGATAGAATTGATACTATTTTCAAAATCATCAGCGGAGGCGCGATGGGAAGATTGTTTTATTTGCTCAAGGGCCGGGATATGAGCGAAAGAACCGGTTTGTTCTATTTACACAAAGCCAAGATATCGGGCTATCCGTCAACGGACAGAGAGAAAAAAAAAGAAAAAAAAAATGGGGGGGGGAGGGGGAGTGGCCCTAACATTGCAGAGCGGAGGTCGGCTGTTGGCGAGGGACGGCCACGGGAACACGGGAGGGCAATGGCCTCTGCATTAGAAGAAAAAACGAAGTTTGTGAACACGCGGAAACACGCGGCGCAGTTCACAGCGTAAACGCAACGAGAAACAAAACCCCCGAATCGGCCCTTTTGCCTTTTGTGGGCGTTTTCCTGCAGCCCCGCCAGGAAGCAGCAGCCGGCACCACGGGTTCCTCCTTCACGTTTATTGAGTTAAAGTGTTCAGCAAACAAAGTGCTCTCTGTATCATCTTCCCGCCGTCATTCCCATCCCTTATACATTAATTATAAAGTTAAAACTTTTTTTTCTTTCCTTTTTTTTTTTTTTTTTTTTTCTTTTTTTCCGTAACGACCAGAAATATACAGAAATGCAGAACGTAAAAACGAAAGAAACCCAAAGCCCTGCAGGCGAGGGGGCTTCGGTCGTCGCGCGCGGCTCTGCGTCGGTCCGGTCCGGTCCGCAATGCTCCGTGCGCTGAGGTAAGAGCCCGGCCCGCCGCCGCGCCCCTCCGCAGAGGGTTCCGCAGGGGGTCCGTCGGGCCGGACCGGTCCCCTCAGCAACCGAGGGCAGCGCGGGCTGAGGGCTGGGGGAAAGCGGCGGAGCGCGCTTATAGGTGGGGGGTGTAGAAAGCCGGAGCGCCGTAAGTCTGCGAGCCCAGCACGAAGGGCGAGAGGACGGCCGGACTGGGCAGGAAGGGCAGCTGGGCGGCGCACACCAAACCCCCGGCCGGGTGACCCGCGTAGCTGCCGGGCCCGTGCATGGAGAGCGGGTTGCCCATGGGCGGCGAGTGGCTGAGCGGACTGAGGCCGCCCGGCAGCGCCCCTCCGCCCAGCGCCCCGCTCGCCCCGCCGCCCGCCCCGCCGCCGCCGGTGGGCGCGCTGGTGTCTGCGCCCGGGTTCTGCTTCTTCCACTTGGTGCGGCGGTTCTGGAACCAGATCTTCACCTGCGTCTCGGTGAGGCTGAGCGAGAGCGCCAGGTTGAGGCGCTCGCACACCGACAGGTACCGCGTGGACTTGAACTTGTTCTCCAGCGCCACCAGCTGCTCGTAGGTGAAAGCTGTCCGCGCCCGCCGGGGTTTGCCCGACTTGGAGTCCGAGCCCGTGCGCTTCCTCTTGGGCTTGGGCTGCTGCTGCCCTCCGCCGGGCTGCTGGGACGGCGGCGGCTGCTGGGGCGGCGGCGGCGGGGGGGGCGGAGGGCCGACGGCCGCCTCGGGAGCCTCAGAGTGCTGCGGGACCGCGTCGGCCTCGCCGGGAGCCGCCGAGCCGCTGCCGGTGCTGCCGCTGCTGCTGCTCTCCTCGCTGCACAGCTCCTCGTCGTCCTGCAGCTCGCTGTCGGGGCTGCGGCTCGGCCGGCTGCTGTAGTCCAGGTCGCACTCCTCGGCCTTGTAGAGTTCGCCGTCCTCTGCGCAAAACAGACAGCAGCCGTTAGACTTCAGCCAGCCGCCCCGGCCCCGACCCTGCGCGGCCCCGACGCCCCTCGGCCTCCCCGCTGCTGCCGTTAGGACAGGGGAACGGGGGAACCCCAACGTGGGGATGCGGATATCCCGTGCTCGTAGCGTGCGAGGCTCGGAGCTGCTCGGAAGCGGCGGGGATTGGTATCGGAGCTGCCACTGATGGGCAGCGCTGGGGGCTGCGCTCTGGGGCCGGCACGGTGCCGCGCTGCCCGGGAAGCTTTTGGCCGGGCAGACTCCGGCACCGTGCGGCGGCCGCTTCCAACCTCATCCTCAAAACACGGCCGGAAAGGCCCTTCGGGGATGCAACGCCGTGGTGCCGGAGCCGCGGGCCAGATCCCGCAGCACCGCTCTCCGTTTTCGGGCAGCGCGAGGGATGGGGAGGTGGGCTGGCGGCCTGAACCGAGTGAGCAGCCCTGGAGAGGAGGGCAGAGAGGCTGTCAGCGCTTTTAGCAGTTTTAGTTAGGGAAGTGTCCGCACCGATGGGAGAGCTGCTGGCTTTTGCTCCGGCATTTTTAACCCTTTCTCCGCCTAGTTTGACCTCTTGTCAGTTCGTGAGATGGAAGTATTAAAGAGGAGTAAATACTTGTATTGATTAGCAGAGCAGATACAAACTTAATTAAACTCATTTTGTGTAATGTACAAACTAGTTAACGGTCATTTAATTTATTTGGGTTTATAGGACGCTCCAATTAACGGTCTTCATTGGAGAACAGGCTCAATTATCCGATATTTAAGGCTATCGGACTTCTGCTGATGGTTCCGTCATTGCGAAGCCTGGAAGGAAAGAGCGCTTTCGGGAGAGCCAACTCCTCATCCCGTCGGGCTGCTCCGGCTGCCGGCAGGAGAGCGCTGCCCGCAACGTGCCGCGGGGCCACTGCGCCGTCGGAGACACCGGGGGCTCAGGGCCACAGCCGCAGCCCTTCATCCGCGGGTTTTAGGCACCCCTCCGCTTCCCTCCTCTCGGACCTACAACGCGGTCGCAGCTCCGGGAGATCTCGAGCTGAAGGCTCGTTGTACTCGGTTAACCGAGGTGTGCAAGAGAAAGTGGATCGCTCATCTGTCACCCTTACCCCGTGGTGTTTTAGTCGGTTTTAACGCCCCCAAAACTGAACCCGTTAGTGCACGCCCTGCTCTGTCCAGACCCTGGCACCGGACCCTCACCAATAGCCTAAGGGTGTTTTTAAAATGATGTCTGTTGAAGGAGCTGATTTTGGCTTGACGTCGGCTCTGGCTGGCTCGAGCAGAAAAAGAGGCAGAGAAGTTTGTGTAACCCACTTTACCCGGAAAACATCCCTTAAAAACGCGGGTTTGTTTCGAGTCCTTTCCAGCTTCCTGATCAAAGCAAAAAGTGAAGAGCGAACCCGCCCGACCGCCGCCGCACAGCCGTGCGGATGGGATCGGCTTCCCCCATCCAACACCGTGCGTGAGGACGTTTGTCCCACGACCTGTTCAACTTATTTCACACCGTCGTGTGCCATTTTGGCCACAGCAATACACAAGCAGTGCGTGTATCTGTGTGCGTGGCGATTTCCACGCCCGTTGAACTGCCCGGTCCCGGTCCGGGAGTTTATTTATTCCGGTAAATTAGGAAATCCCGTCCGCGGTTCTATTTAAGCTGCTACAATTTCCTTTAAGCAGAAAAAAATGTAGAACGGGTGCTTTTCGTGACGGAGATGGACGCCGCAGTTGTGGTTTTGTGCTCGGAAGATGCTGAATGTGAACTGAATGCGGAGTTTTTCCTCGGACCGCGCAGTTCTCCGAGCGCCCCGTTCCATCCACTCTCCTTTTGCCAGCAGCCCTCACCTTTCCGCTGTCGGCACTACGGCTGCTTTTCGGAACACCTCTCCTAAATCCAAGCAGTGCCGGGGCTGCTGTTAATTACGGGAGGGAGAGGGGGAAGGGAAGAGGAGAATTAAGTTTGGCGATTTGAAGCAGTCCCGGCTCTGTTTGTGACAACGTTAACGCGTGAGGGCCGAACGCGCGCAGCGGCCACGGATCCCCGCTCCGTTTGCTGTTAGAGAAGTGATGGCATTGCATTTCTCTCCTTGTCTGGAGATAAAAGTGCGAGATTAGCGATAGGCTCACATCGTCCGTCTTTCGGATAGCGCAGATCTATTTGCTATGACAAAAGTCGGATGAGCTTAGACGAAGAATTACCTCGTACAGACTACTTCCAAAAAAAGAATCTCTTTGGAATTCCATCAACGCTCCGCTCCCGCTTTTGCTTTCGGAATTAGAAACACTCCCGCTCTGAAAGACGGGCTGCAAAAAAAATTCCAGAGCGCTTTCTCTGCTTAATTTAACGGAAAGAGTCGCGCCGTGGTGGGATGGGAGAGCTCGGAGTCCCTTCTCCCGGCCCAGACGCAGAAATCATTTTCCCCTTCCCAAGAAGTTTCTCCCCGGCCCCGCTCCGCGCTCGGGACACGAACCGCTTCCCCCACCACTCCCGGAGCTGCCACAGCCCAGAGCGCTCCGCTGTCCCCGGAGCCGCGGGGTTTAGAGGTGACAAACTCGGGATATTTGGACCCAGAAAGAGAAAAAGCAATCTAGAGCTTGGGTCGAATGCAATTCCCGATCAATAGCGAGCCCTAATAAGTGTAATAGGTTTTAATCGAGTAATTATCCGAATTTTGACCCTATAATTTAGATGTTAGGAAAGAGTTTGCAAGGTGCTTGAAAGAGATATGCACAATTCGATAATAGGATATCGATCCAGGCAGTCCTACATGCCACTCTGGGGCGATTTCCCCCATTATCCAGCCTCTTTACGCTGCTAAGCACATTTTACCTTAAATGTAATCGAAGGAATTTAATTGTTTTTCCAGAGATAACCAGCATTTTGTCACAATTAGTCTGATTTGTCCTAAAAAAAGCCAAGGGGAGAGAGAAAATTGAATCTGTCGCCCAGAGCAACGCGAGGGGGGGAAGGGGAGAGCGGGTTCCAAGGCTGGGGAGAACATACATAAAAGTCAGAAATGCCTCGAGAGCCCCGGGCGGGTGGGAGGGAGCGGGCTGCCACCGCAGGGCCCTCCGGCAGCTCCGACCCTTTGGGTCCTCCTCAGCACCGGGAGCCGTTCAGGGTCGGCCCGGCCGGCGACGCAGCTTCTTCCCCGGTGCTGGCAGCGGCCCCGTGCAGCGCGCCCTGCCCCGCCGGGGTAGCGCACCGCCGCTCCGGGTTAAGCGACCGGGTGCTGCCGTCGGGCTGCCCCGCACGGAGCTCAGGGAGGAGGAACACAGGCAGCGGGGCCGCCCAAGGGAAGCTCTGCCCGTAGCGGAGCGCTGCGCCCGGCCCCCACCTCTCCGACCCCCGGCCTAAAACTTAGTTCCACCTCCATGCAGCTAGCGTTCGCACAGCCTCGAGAAGCGAGTGCCCCCGGCTCGCTGCTTCCCGACGATCTGTAAAAGCACGCGAGCCCCTTCCCGGGCGTCCGGGCACAGCCCCCGTCCCGGGGAGCCCCCACACCTACTTACTGATCAGCTCTGCGGACTTCTTGCACGTGTCGAAATCTTCGGCGAGAGCTTTTGGCTCGGCCAGCTCCGTCCCTGAGTCCTCGGGTTTATCCTCCGCCCCCAGCGTGAATTCGGTCCCCACCGATTTGTACAAGACCGCGCACTGCCTCCTTTTGCTGTTGAATTTGTTAGGGTCCAGGATGTCGAGCACGGAGAAGGAGGTGGTTCTGTGCACTATGGGCAGCGCGGCCACTGCCCCCTCTTGTCCGGGAGTGTTGCTCTGACCGTCCCCTTGTCTGTCCCTATTCCCAGGGCAGGAATAGAGCGGCAGCTCTCCGCCGGCCGAGAGCCTTTGCTCCCCATGGCTGTCCATGCCTTCCCCGCGCACGCCGCACGATTCCCCGCCGATGCCCGCCGCGGTTGCGGGGGCTGTCACGGCCGCGGCTGCCGCTGCCGGGATGGAGATGTCACCGACCTTGTCTCTGCTCACATTCATGACTCTTCGCAGAGCCCCTCTCCGTTGCAACTTCTTCCCCCCCCCCCCCCCCCCCCCCGCTCCCCCCCCTCTTTTTTTTTTTTCCTTCCCCCCCCCCCCCCCCCTTCAGACGAAGTTGAGCTGCAAACTCCTCCCCGGCCCCCGCTCCGCGGGCTCTGCGCGCAGGGCAGACGCTGCCTGCAGCTCCGGCACAGCGCTGAGGCCGGCCGGCAGCCTCCGGGGAAGGCACGGAGTCACGGGGCGATGCTCGGCTCGGAGCCTCCGCTGTGCCGCTCCTTCTTCCTTCTCATCATCCTCACAGGGCTGCCTGTGCTCTCCCTCCTCCCTCCGCCCCCCCCCCCCCCTTCACCCCCCTCAGCCCTCTAAGCGCACATACACACAGAGGCAAGGCTGTATCTTATTTATGCATTCATATTTAGCACTGCATTGTAATTGGCTACAAATTAATCCCTTGCCCATAATAGTCTGTAATCTTCATCACTGGAGGAGAGACGCGGTGAAAGTGTGTGCCGGGGGGAGGGGGGCAGCGAGGGAGAGCGAATGAAGGATGGCGTTGGCTGTGATATACTTGGCTGTCAGCTCTGTTTCAGCACACCTCCACTCATCTGGAAAGCATCTAAATAGCCTTATTTGGAGAAGTGGGAGGAGATGACGCTTTCTTTTAAATAATTGCGGGATCAATATGAAAGAGATATTATACACGCAAAATGAGAACTTAAGGTCTTCCACCCCTAATAGCGGAGAGAGATGATCAGAAGGGGATTATGTGCGTGTGGGGGCTCGGAGGTGGCAGCCCCGCACCTGTTTCCCTTCCTGCCGGTTTTATTAAATTACAGAAAAAGGAGAAAATGAGGGACGCGGGTTCAGTGGTTGGAGCGGAGTTCGTGGCCGCGGACACGCACACCCCCTCGCACACGCTTTTCTCTTTCTTTTAGCTAATTAATTACGATTAAATATCAAGTGTAAGTGCCAGGAAACCTCTGGGAGAAAATTAATACGTTAACACGGTGCATGGCAAAACAGGGCGATCAATAAATTCGGAGTAACTGGGAGAAAAAGAGCGGTGCCTCCCGTGCGGTAACCGGAGCCAACTTCCACTTTTTTATGGGGGGGGTGAGGGGTGGGAGGGGAAACAGGCAAAGAAACAAACATACGAACAGAAACCACGACAAAAAGCCAAGAGCAAAGCATTCCTCTTATTAAAAGTGCTTTTAATTATGAAAAATGAAGGAGCAGGAATACAAATCATGTGTGAATTGCAAAGCCCGAATTTCTTCTCCTATCTAATTTCCTTCCCCTCCGTGTGGCCGTATGTGTTTCGATCGTATCAATTTCATTCTTGTTTTGGACGCTCCAGTCGCTATTCGGGGTGAATTAGCTGCCAGGAGGGAAAAAACAAAACAAAACAAAAAAAAAAAAAAAAACAACAAAAAACCCCACAGAGGGTGTGTGTGAGAGAGAGAGGAAAATAGAGAAAGCATAAAAGGAAAATTAGATTTTTTTTTGTCTTTGAGGCTGGTGACACATACAAGGACAGGTCCTTTGCAATTACCGCGGGCAATGATCCTTTAGAAAGCAGAAATTAAAAGTTGGGAGAAATAATGGGTAAAACAATCAGCTTGTAATTTTGGTAGGGCTTGGACATGATTAGTCCATCAGCGGGCTGGGCCCAGGGGAGTCCCGCTGAGCGGGAGCCCACAGCAGCCCCCGCTCATATATTATACACCAGCCCTGAGATTTTAATCAGACACCACAACAGTGTCCTTTCCCTTTTATGACTTTATTACGCTTTATCTTTAAATTATAAATCACCTCCTGGCTTGAAATGGTATGTATAATCTGTGATCATGTGTAGGTAATTACCTCTCCCCCTTTTCCTGACCTTAGCGGCGGGGCCGATGCGAACATGAGGCGAGAGAGAGAAGTTTTAATCTGCGTCCACACACACACGCTCACCCCAACACACGCAGCTGCCTGCCTGCTTGTTTGTCAGCAGCTCCTCTGTCCTCCTCCGGCCGTGCCTCTCATCGCATCTTTTCTTTCGGATAAGTTTCCTCCCCTCAGTTTGTACTTTATTATTATTATTATTATTTCCTTTCTGGAGACTTTTTTTTTTTTTTTTTTTTTTTTTTTTTTTTTTTTTGGATGAGGGTGTGGGGGGATGAGGACAGCATTTATCGCTTGGGCCTCAGACATGATCCTAATTGGGATTAAACCTATGCGCTCCGCCGTCCTCTCAGGGGCATTGCCCCACGCGTGCACAGCCCCGAGCGGACAAACGAGCCCGGATTCCCAGGTTTGCGTTCGGTGCTTGGAGGAGAAGCAGCCCGAGCAACGTGGAATACCCCTTCCTCCCTCCCAGTCTCCGCTCTCGGCGCTGCTCTCGGCTCATCCCTCCGGGCTGCTGTGCCCACACCGAGCCGGAGCCGGGGGACAGCGGGCGGCAGCAGCGGGCACAGGAGGCACCGCGGCAGGGCTTCTTCCCGACGGGGCCCCCGATCCACCCGGTGCTTTTGTTTGTTTGGCGGCTTAAATCGAGTGTTATAAAGATGTTCTATTGCTCCTAATCACAATTGATTGTCAATTAGAGCCTCATTTGTGCAATCTCCATCCATCTGCCATCTCTGGTTATCTGTTCACCAGAAAGTTAGCGCTGATTATGGGGCCCTAGATGAGTTGTGACATGTAATATCTCTCTGAGCTCGGGCCGGGTGACCGGACCCGTCTCGCTCTAAGGGAAGACAGTCCTTTTCATTTCCCGTGTACGACGGACGAGCAACAGCCGCCCGGCGGGGAGACTCGGGGAGAGGCTGCCTTTAGGAAGGGGTGGTGGGATGGCAGACACCCCCGTGCTCCCCGAAGAGGGGATGATGGCACGTAGAGGACCCCGCGTGCTGGACTCCGTGCCCCCCACGGAAACGCTTCCTTCTCCGAAATAAATAGAGAAACACGCGGAACACCTTCACGTTTTTACAAGCCTTCCGACCTCGGCGATAGTTATCTCTGTACTTAGGCTGAATTATACCTGCGGGGAGGTGATATTTCCAAAGCCTGAAGGCGCCGCTGGCCACAGCATCATCCAGCAGCCGTCGGCTCCTCGGGCAGCTCCCGACGGGAGCGGCACAGCCCGGATCCGAGAGGTCCCTCCTCTGCCCCGCCGGAGGCGAACTGGGGAGGTCCCATCTGAGGTCGCATCTCACGTTCCGGTTTTACGAAGGCACGGCAGAGGAAACCCTAGCAAGTCTCTGCCCCAGCCCTACCGTGCCCGGCACGATAGGAAGGAGGATGCAGGGCACCTCGGCCTCAGCTTCAGGTGACCCCCAGCGCCCTGCGGGGACCGGGGCGGGACTGGGACCGCTCCATCTTTCTCCGCTGCTCTCCTAAACCGAGGCTTCTGACCGATGGCAATGCTCTCAGGGGTGCTGGGGTCAGAGGGGAGCTCAACAATGAGCACTTTTTCACCTCGGTATTCATTAGTTAACACTGAATTTCAAATCAGATTTCAGCAAACTCCGGATCAAGCGATCCTTTTTATTTTTTTTTTTTTTAATTTATTATTTCTCCCTCCTTCTCTCCTCCCCCCTCGGTCCCTGGGGTGCGTGGAGCTCCGGGTAATTAAGAGCATTTATCTCTGCGGTAAAACAATTTAGCGGCCCATGCTGCTCTGGGAAGGTCACTCACTCCAAGCGGCCGCACTGAGCGCGGAGCCTCCGCGTCCCTCCGCGCTGCTCGGTGTGCGGCCGCGACTGCCGGCTGCGGGGCTTCTCGCTTTCCTCTCTCTCTTTCCAAACACAGCCCGGCTGAAAGCTCGTCCCGTCCTGCTCTGAGTGGGTTCCTTTAAAATGATCTTTACTCTCATTATGATGCCCCTGGTTTCTGTGGCTGCTAAGAAGCTCCCCGCCAGCGCCCGGCCACGCGGTTCTTGCTGTCATCCTGAGCCTCTGCTCTGCGTGGGCCTGGGCCCCGACAGCCACCCCGGGGTGCTCGGCTCTTCCCGGGGAGCCGGGAGAACTGCCCCGAACCGAAGGTGGGGAATTAATTAACTCGACCCACGAAAGGAAACGATTTAAGGGGAGAAGAAAAAAAAAAAAAAGATTCTGAAGCAGATCTCGCCCTCTATCAATGCAGTGTCAGGTCCTCATAGTAGAAGATTTAAAAGCCCTGGGGATTCCAGGTTAGGGTAATAATGAGCTTAATTGAGGTTAATGCTTCCTGCACAGCTCCTTGATTATTAAATTAATATTATCACACACATGAATCATAATTAGAAGTTTAAATAATGCTCTAGGGGAATCCTCGGAGGATCTATTAAACAATTCCCTTCCTTCTCACCAGCTCGCTTTGAGCTCCGAGGGCAGACCAGGGGGCAGCGGGAGATGGGTGCTGCTGGGGGGGACGGGACGGCCCCCGAGCATCCCTCATCGTCCTTCAAGCCTCATCTCGGCGTATCCCCGCTTAAAGAGCCCATCACCCCGCCCGCTCTCAATTTAGGCGTTTATCTCCCAGCACCCGGGTGTTTATATAAAATCCTAATAAAGTGCCTCATCGTCACTTATCGCGGCCGAATCCTTTTACACGCGCGTCGCGAAAAGCCGGGCGCTGCGTGCTCCGCCGCCTGACATCCCCTCTGCCAGCCTGGGAGAAGCGGGGAGCTCCGCTCTTCCCCCCGGCTATCCGGCCCCATCTCCCACAGCACGGCCGGGACACGCGTGTGGGGCGGCCCCGCTTGGGGTCATCCCGGCTGCCGATCCGTTTCTGCGTCCCCTCTCCGGGTCGGCAGCGCCAGGAAGGGACCGGACTCGCCCCGTTTGCGGGGCGCTGGGGACGCTACGCGCGCTGCGGGGACGAGAGGCTCGTTTTATTTTAGAGTTCGTATTATTTCTAACGAAAGGTTAAAAGAGGTGTGGAAATGGTGAGGGCACGCACAGCCCGTCTGCATCCGCGGGGCCGTGCGTGTAAAAGGAAAAAAAAAATAAAAAAAAAGAGAAATCGGATGGTTG